CCACCCCCCCGGAAGCTCCTCTCAAAATTGGGGTGCCGACCGGTGATGGAGCCTCAGCAGAGGGAGAAAAGAGCCACATGCGGCTCCAGAGCCACAGTTTGCTGACCCCTGGACTAGAAGACCTTCACGGTCCCTTCCAATTCTATTATTCTGTGATCAAAAGTACAAAATTTCTCTGCTACCGGTTAGCTTTGCATTGAAATCTGGAAAAGAAAAATCTCTCCTTCACTCTTGCTTTTCATTTTCTGAATTTTTTAGGGTGAGCTCTGTCCTCAACCGAGAGGTGAAGCAATTTGGAAAGAAGTACATGTTTGACGGAAATGAGGAAACTAGTTGGAGCTCAGACCAGGTGAAGTACAATACAATACAATACAACAGCAGAGTTGGAAGGGACCTTGGAGGTCTTCTAGTCCAACCCCCTGCCTAGGCAGGAAACCTATACTGTTCCAGACAAATGGCTGTCCAACATCTTCTTAAAGACTTCCAGTGTTGGGGCATTCACAACTTCTGGAGGCAAGATGTTCCACTGATTAATTGTTCTCACTGTCAGGACATTTCTCCTGACAGGAGGAGAGAAGACAGTAGGAGAGAAGAGAGAGGAAGAGAGAGAGGAGAGAGGGGGAGAGAGGGAGAGGAGAGAGAGAGAAGAGAGGGAGAGAGAGGAGAGGGAGAGAGAGAGAGGAGAGAGAGAGGGAGAGGAGAGAGAGAGGGAGAGGAAAGAGGAGAGAGAAGAGAGAGAGAAACTTGGACAGAAAGCTTTTCTTTTTATATCTGCCTTCCTGTATTTTTTAATTTGTTTGGATTTCTCTTAAACTGGGGATGTCCTGTTTTTTGCTGTATTAGGGTGCCATCCAGTGGCTGACAATGGAATTTCCTCAGACTGTCCAGGCGTCTCAAATTCAAATTCAATTCCAGGGGGGATTTGCAAGCCGAAAATGCATCCTCCAAGGTAAAAAAAAACCTCACCCACAGTTAAAAATGCATGTCCTTGCTCTGTCTTTTTCCATCTGAGAGACAGGTGTGTGTGTCTATGTGTGTTTTACATATTTAAATGCATTTAATGCACTGGTGTTAAGTATAAGTATAATCTTTATTGTCATTGTACTTAAATACAACCAAATTGGTTAAGCTGCAAAAGGCTGTAAATGCTGACCAGTTGTCAGCATCAACATCTGGTCACATTATGAAGATTCAGCCATGAGAACTTCTGAAGTATGTCGTAAGCAACCTCAGGGAGATCTGTCATAACTTTGAACGGTCACTAAACAACCAGTTGTAAGTTGAGGACCACCCGTGCTGTCTCTTCCTCAGTACTTTTCCTTTCCAAATTCTTTTCATTGGGAAATGTGCCTGATAATACTAATGAAAAACACTTCTCAAACATTTTCACAACTGTGCATCTTATTTTTCTGCCTTCAAACTTCCAAAGGAGGACGGAAAGGAGAAAACCTCTCCACTGTTGCCGAAGTCTACCCTGAAGATAACAATTCTCTCCAGATATCCTTTACCAACTAATTCAGAATACCAAGAACCGAAATTAAAAAAAATGTGTGGATCTATGGCTCACATACACCCCTGCAGGGTTTTCTGGTGTGATTGCCGCTTTGTTTCCTATTTTGTTCTTCTGGCATCTCTCCCTGCATTCTCACAATCTTTTCTATCCACATGCTAGTTGTGAATATTCCACCCTGCCCTATGGATAAGTTCTTCAGTAAATTAAGCCTTAGCCACCCTGTGGTTAGAATGCAGTATTGCAGGCTGACTCTGCTCAATGCCAGCAGTTCAATCCTCCGTGGCACGTCAAAACCGCGCTCAACTAAAGCGCGCTCGACGAAACCGCGTCGCTGACGTCATCAACAGGGCGACAACAGCGAGTGCGGACAAAGAAGGGCGCTTTAAAGAGCGCTTTAAAACCAAGCCGATTC